TGAACTTTATTTCGACTATATGTTGAGGCATATATAACAATATAGTCTATGAAAAAATAGTTTTAACATGTAATCTTAAGAAATAAAGAGACTAACAAACAGTTGTTTTCTCGTCACAGTTTTATTGTATGTAAAGAATTAGAAAAGAAACAATAGAATGTAGAATGTAGATTTTTAAGTTTCGTTTCAGAGTATTAAGTTATAAATTTATTTAGTTTAGAAGAAATCTGTCCTTCATTGCATAATTCAGGAACACGCTCCGAATTCCAATAATAACCATAAAATCAAAAGTGAGGAACTTTTTTATGGGAAACATAAAACTATAATGGCGGTAAAAAATGATCGACGGATTCAATGCACTGAAATTCGTAGAATAGCATTTTAAATAAATTCAGTACCCCAAAATTACCAAGATATATACAAATGCTATTTGGTTAAATAAAATAATATTTCATGCTTCACTCTATATAAAAGTAATCATGTAAACATATACATACATACCTATATATGCAATGCAACTATCATATTTTAGTATTTTAGCGGGAAAATGGTGAACAACATGTCCAAAATACGTGTTCTATTTTTAAATATATCCATTCTTCATTATTTTCCATATGGAAAAACGGTGTGTGGGACGCCGATTGCTAGTTACTGAATTGAAAAAACCGGTGACAACCGATGTTTTTTGTTCCCCTTATACGGAATTATACGGAATTAATAAAAATGTTCCGGTTGTTTGTAGACTTCAGATAGCAGCAGACGTAAATAATTGTTACAATGTAATTTTATATGTAAATAGCATTTGGGATTGAGAATTCCAAATATTAGGCTATATCCCCTAATTTTTAGAATAGAATAGAAAATCCTCTATTCAAAAGAAATTGATTTAAGCACTTTTATTTTTAATCCACCGCTCATTCGTAAATTGTCACGACAAACGTGTCTCTGCTATATAAATTCATATCGCTATTAAAAAATAGAGATTGATGGGTCAAAATTTAGATTCATACGTAATAGCAATAAAATAATAATTCTAAAAAGTTCTCTTGAGATGGACCCTTATCCCTGAATATCCACACACAATTTCATACGAAGCGGCCAAGTAGTTTCGCAGGAGTTTTCTTACAAACACTGTACTTGAGAATTTTCTATAAAATAATAATAACCCCTGGACAGCGCTATCTAGTCACAAGCTAAGCAGAGCTTGTGTTGTGGATACTAGACAACTGATATAAATATAATATATATAAGAAATACAAACAATCATAATTATGAATATAAATGTTTGGATCATGCAAGGAATCGAATACGCGACCATCGAAAATAAAGCTGTTTGAGTCCACCGAGGCAGTTACCGAGATTATTCATCATGAAGAGAAAATTAAAATTAAAATAAAACTGTATTTTGTAAACATGTTTTTGTTAGCTCGAATGCAATCCGAACTGACGGTAGTTTTTAACATATCATAAGAATCTGTAATAGACCTACATGAATAAAGATATTTTGATTTGATTTGATATCTCTCTCTATCTTTGAGCCTTATCTATCAATACAAGAATCCATTTTATCCACTCAGAAATGGATCGGACACTAAAATTAATTTAGCAAAGTACAAAGAAGTGGATTCGCCTCAGTTACCGGCAACTTAGCGAAAGCCGTAAATCAATTCGGGTCCCTAAAAGGGACATAGGTTCCAGTAACCGAATTACCATATTAATATACATTATGAAAGCGGTCGGATGATCCCTACTAATAACCTCGTAATCCAGAGGTGATTGAAGCTAACTCTGAGTACATGGGAAGATATACCATGCTATACAACTGCAGTTATCTAATCTTTTATATGAGTATCAGATATTACATAGACTGAATATAACATCAATTTAAATTAATTTTCCGGAAAATTCATTTGTATCGCTTTTTACTTGTATGTAAATATGTTATTATTTCTTCTTATTTTAAATATCGCTGTCTCTTTCTGGTAGTATGAATAAGAGAGAAAGACTTAAAAATATATAGCATATACATATATAGAGCATAGAGGGTGTTAAAGTTGAGTAGAGCTGTATATATTTTGGTTGTTAGGTCAAAATTTTGTTTTTTTTTTCTTTTGTATTTATGAACACAGAATAATGTACTGAAATAATTAGATATTTTTTTGTAAATACATACATATTGTATTTTAGCTAACCCGCGCAACACTTACTTGACATTTATCATTACATTTTGCTAAATTTACATAATATCTTTTTAAATTATAGCCTATATGTTATTCTGATATATAAGTCATATTATTATAAAGTTTCATCAAAATCCATTAAGTATTTTTTGCATGAAAGAGTCCATCCATCCAAAAACATCCATCCATACTCACAAACCTTCGCGTTTATAATATTAATAATAATAAGTTAGAAAACACCCAGACCGATACGAACAATCATACAAATATGTTATACAAATATATGCGAGGATTCGAACAAGTCAAGTTCAAGCCAGTATCAGAAGTACAGCGGCGAGCTAAACCGTTCAAGCCAGTATCGGAAGTACATCGGCGAGCTAAACCGCTATACCATGAAGACTTCCTTCTGAGAGATCAAGTAAAGACTAAAGATGAATAGAATTTAATTGTACAAAAATATTCCATATATTTTTCATAATTCTTCTTAGGTTACAACTGGTTTGGATCTAGGTTTACATTCCATAACTCTGGGTTTACTTCCTGCTAGTCCAGAAGCCGTCATATCTACAAACAAAAAAGAAAACACAAATCTTAGGATGACCTATCATGGATCTACATTTTCTAATATTCTCTTTACGCATAACGTGATTTAACAGACAACGACAGCGACTTTGTTTTATACTATGTAATGATTATCAAAATCATTACATAGTATAAAACAAAGTCGCTGTCGCTATCTGTCCGTCCCTATGTATGCTTAAATCTTTAAAACTACGCAACGGATTTTGAAGCGGTTTTTTTAATACATAGAGTGATTCTACATGAAGGTTTATATATAATACATGTACATCCCTGCAAAGTCGGCGGGAGTAGCTAGTATATAATATTATATATCATTAGCTGAGCCTGTATATCTTATATGTGTCTGTATATCTTCGCCTATTGTGTAATGATGCCATAACAACATATGTGCGCTGTGAGCTTACCAACACGTAACACGTTGCAAGCTCCCCAGCCCGTGAAATTGACATGGGCACGTAATTTTGACGCTGTGCACTCCTATTTCTATCAAAATATTATTGCTGCATATTTTTTCCACATACCATAGAAATATAGTACGATATATAATCGTGCTATATTTCTATGGGATTTATTTAATAACTAGCTGACCTGCATGACTTCGTCTGCATCACACTTATCATATATATTATCCAATTTACATAATATCTTTTTAAATGTGTTATTCTGATGTATAAGCTACGATACTGTAAAGTTTCATCAAAATCCGTTCAGTAGTTTTAGCGTGAAAGAGTAATAAACATCCATCCATATACTCAAACGTTTGCGTTTATAATATTAGATTATATAAGAAATTATTACATTGCATATCAGTTTAGAACCTTCTATACCAATTGGGCTGACAGAGACTGGGCGGACGCCGTACGTCATGCGTAAAGAACTTAAGACAGTAGTTCTGGATTAGTAGCAAATCCCTGTTTAGAACAGCAGTGGACAAAATTAAGGTTGCCAAGATGATCGCCGACCTCCAGTAAGAGACGGTACATAAAGAAGAAGAATAATAACAATAATAATAATAAATACTAAATACTAAATTAAATACCTGTCGCCTAACTCGAAAGTAACCTCCTCAATAAAATCTTCACACAGCACAACCTCTCCCACACTTGGTTAAGGCCAGTGTAGGTGAGTATTACCTTCTTTTAAATTTGTAAAAGAAGAGAGAGAATTGAGAAAAAAAAATAATAACAATATATTAACGAGTATATTATATAGAGTAACGAGAGACTTGGCATGTCCCGTCGGTACTAATCAGCCAGCTAAAGCTGTGAAAAAGAGATATTAATAACTTTTTATTGTGCATACATGACAAAGGACAATCAGTACAAAACAATGGAAATAAATGTTTCCCAAAAGGCGGTCTTATCGCTATCAGCAATCTCTTACAGACAACCTTGTGTTTACAGAGAGTATTTACATAGAGAGAGAAAGTAGGAGGCGCACTGTACACTCTCAATTATATATATCTCAATTATAGATAAACATACATTTTATAAACATAAATAAATAAACTTACACATTAATACATATAATATACATAGACTACATAATAATGGATAAGAGGAAAAGATGTAATTCTATTAGAGATAATGAGATATTTATATTTTTTGAAAAATAGCATGCAAAAAGGATACTAAAACATATATATTTGAAACATGGAATTATAAGTCATGACTTATAATTGTTATATATGTTTATTTGGTCACATTTTATATGCTGTACAAATGTAAGTACACTCAGTACTGGAGAATGTGTTAAAAAGGATAATATTAAACTAAAAATTGTCTATCAACATACGCCAACAATGCGTCAGTTATTTTAAACTTTCGTGTTTAATACCTTTACTTACCATAAAATTATTGGTGTTAATACCCGATTAACAATGTAAATAGTGCGCCAATTACCAGACAGTGGTGAATATAAAAACATTAATTCTAACAGTAATAAGTATAAGCAATTTTCAATAAATATTCGTAATAAACTTAACACTTCAATTAGTAGCGAAATGTATTGGAAAATGTGTTTAAAAGAACAATATTTCAATACCTTTATTTACCATAAAATTATTCGTGTTAAGACCATGTGACCATGACCTATAGTGTTGGTGCACTAAATTTAATAAAACAAATATATATATAATAAATACTCGTAACAAATTTAACACTTTCGTTAACTAATATTTTAACGAGCTTAACATTTTTTTTTTTGGATTACTTTTACATTTAATGTATATTTGATAAAAATTAATTTGATTTAATTTGATTAAAGTATTCCCCATCGTATATAATCATTTACAATTCCGTTCACTCTCTCCGGATACAAATTACTTGTCTTCGTAGTCACTATTGTGTTGAAACCATCTTCTCCTTGCAGAGACGGCGCGTTCTCAGCTTCCACTGTGATTACTGGCAGCAAGAATAAACTAATGAACAGACCGAACGGTATGAACTGAAAATAAATAATATTTATTATAATAATCATATGGTACATAACCTTCACGGGTATTATCCTTGATTGATAGGGTATTGTAAACTATCAAATTCAAATTCAAATTCAAAATATCTTTATTCATGACTCATCTTTATTACAGACTCTTATGATATGTCAAATCTATCGACGTCGATAAAAGACGTATTTTTTTTAATGTTGTATATATTTACAAAAACACTATTTCATTTTTCAAATTTGTGATGACCACCAGCATATGAACACACCAATACCCGTTCACGAGTATGACGGATGAGCCAGCCATCATTGCACTCAACCATATTCCAACCCGGCCCATGGCAGTTTAAACTTTATAGCGAGCATGACTGTTTCAAGTTACTGCACTACGTCATTTATATTATTTACAGCAAAGGCTGTAACAATCACAGTTTTCACTCATAGTAATATTTAATTTACATTATTTAAATTACAATATGGCATTACTAAATTTATAATAAGTTTCTTTAGTGTTATCATTAAAAGTGATATTATTTCGTGTGATATATGTATTTGACTCCAATATGGCAGTGACTGACCCTACCGCCATTAAAAGTGTTAAAATGTGTGAAATTTGTGAAAAAATTCTTGTCAAAATGTGTGAAAAAAATGCGGTATTAAAACAGAATTTTTTTGGTGGTGAAATATTTAATATTCAACACAATTTAAATACAAAATGCACTATTTTCGAGTACCTATAATCTCACAAAATAGTATCATTAAACTCTATAAAAAGTTACTCATCTTTTTCAATCTGGCATAATATATATCATATCGTCGATTACATACATATAATAGATTATAAGAATAATCAATCTAGACAATTCACACACCGCCATCTAGTTCCAAGCTAAGCAGAACTTGTGTTTTATTCACTAGATAGCTGAGAGAAATACCTTAATGCAATTTTTACAAACACCCAGACAAATACAATTGTACTCATGAATATAATATCTGCATTGTACACTGCACAGGTATCGAACCCGCGATCATTGGAAGGGTCCTAAAAATTAGGCGGTGTCCTAAAAATAGCGGTTAACCAACCACCGATCCTAAATAAATATTATGGATACAGTTAAAAGTGTCGAGGTTGAATTTCTGAAATTATTAGTCGTTTTGGAAATATTGATTTAGTATTTGATAACAGCAATTATTGAGGAAGATTCTAGATAATTTAATATTAAGTTCCAACTTTTAGGATTCGGACAAAAAGAAACAAGTAGAAATAATAACTGAAGATATCGGAAGGGTAATTAAATAAATGATAAGCAAATTATATTGATGCTATTAGGTGGGGTCGGGAGGTCTAGAGAGGCATTTTTTTTTTCATTTAGGTCTTTAGGTGTGACCGCGAATATAACTAGTATTAGGTCCTAACATTTGAAATTGGCGTTTTGTAACCTAAAGTCGATTTTTTCAAAACATAATGTATCATATTTTGAAAAAATCGATCAATTTTCGCTTAAGGCAGGATTTAGCTGGTTCGTCAAGTTTCAGTCATTGCGATGAGCGTTTCCGATTATCGTACAAGATTCACTTTTCATGACAAGTAATGATTTGATTTAAAATCCCTTCATTATTATGCCGGTTGACTAATGTAAAGTAGCAGTCTACGCGAGTTTGTCTATTTGCTCCGCTTTATTCATGAGGGATCCACCTTTCAAGCTTTTTCACCTTCCCAATTTGCTTCTAGTGGATTAAAACAGTTTTGTACTCATATACTAACACCGCAGCCTGCAACTAATATGGATGTGGTTTGCGATGGATTCGCTTCCACAATAGCTTTCAATTCTTCATTATCAACCTTGGACTCCGGCCGCTCACGGGGCTTGTTTTGCAGGTCGAAATTTCCAGAACGATAACGTTGGAACCAAGAATGCACTGTTTTCTTTTGTGACACCACTTCCACACACATCATTAATCATTCGAGCCGTTTCTGCAGCAACTCGTACTCGTAAATGACGCGATAGTTTAAGTTTTCCATTTTGTAAACTGAGTGACGCAAATAAAAATTAATGATGGAAAAAACATATGAATTACGGTTTTCAAAAAACAAATGCATGAGTAAATAATTGTATAAATTTGAAAGGCAAAGAGGACATATTTTAAGTTACGATAAAATCCATTTCATATGTAAGGATCTAATATTATATGATAACTATTTACATTATTAAATTAATGAATTTACTGAAAATGTAATGTGTAAATTTTCTACATACCTTTTCCAAGTCTTCATTGTAGTTCTCCCTGGTGTAATACTTGTCAACATTGAGGTTCAGATTGCGTAATGCTCGGGTCAACTCCTGGTAATAATACTCGATCAGCTGCTCATAATGTTCACGCCTGAACTGCTCGTCGGAGCCGATAAAAATAAAGTAAAATAAATCTACAACAGGACTATTAGCCACAATAGTTTGAAAGTCCACAGGGATCACTTCAATACTGCCATCCTAAAACAGATAAGTTATACGAATTAAAAAAATGTAAAAATTGTAAAAATGTAAAATGTAAGTCTGCTACCTGCATTTTCATTCACTTTCACTTATAAAACATAACTGTAACATATTTAAAATAAGACTTACCTCTTTTGTTTTGTGCATTAAATTGCTTGGCCTATAATCGCCGTGAGTTAAAAGAACTAAACCAGTTGGCTGAAAATATTTCGCCATATCTTTAAAATTACCTTGCTGTTCAATATATTTGCTTAATCTGTCTTTATTTTCTTCTTTTGTTACTGTTATACCCATTTCTACTGATTTCTCTAAAAGAATAGACATATTCGCAATAGCTTCGGCGTTGTACTTAAATTTCTCGAGCAGTTTTTCATATTCTTCGGGATCTTCTACTCCATATGCTATAGAGAGGGCGTGAAATTTAGCTAGAGACTCCACAGCCTTGGAAGCATATGCCCAATCAATCGATTTCAATCTGTCGTACGTTACATACCCTTCCACTGCAAGATTTTCGAGAACTATTGTTTCTTCGTACAGATTTGGATTATAACCGTAGAATTTAGGCCACAATAATTTGTTTACAGCAGTTAATTTATAATTATCCTGTATTTTTGCATATGCTGGCAATAGATGGATATATGCGAAGCGCTCTAAATCAAATACAGGTACATGAAACTGAGAACGGGCTGCATCACCCATATTTGCTACTTTGGCAAAAAGCTCAAGGTCGTCTTTGTTTTTTGCGGAAATCGTCGCTACATATAGCACTGAACTGTAATTTGCACCATCAGTTGTTATAGTTCGTACGCTTACATTAGGGTTTTTATAATTTTGCTCTTTAGCAATTTTGTCGAGTACTTCACGCAGTACGGCCTCTGTATCGACGTCTGACATTGTGTACGTTTACAATGCTACTACTCTATTCTATGTTTATATTTCCATCATTGGATAATGATGTTACTGACAATTATTTCATATCTATTAACGTATACCACTGTTTGATAAAAAATATGATAAACACATGTAGAGTACGTTCTGTTATGATGTATCATTTTATTCTTATTATCGTAGTATCACAGTGTCAGCATTATATCACAATTTTCATTAATTAAACAACATTAAATAATTCCGAGTGATTACTTTAAAATATATCTCTTTATTCTTATTATCGCCGTATCGCAATATAAGCATTACATTACAATTCTATATTTAAACAGCATTATATATGTAATTATTGTTTGCGATCAAAATAGCCATATAATTCATTTAAAAATAAAATTATAAAATTCAAATTTGGAACGTCACGCATGGAACATCGATGCTGTTTTGTTTTACTTTATATACATTTTTTACTACTTCTCGAACATTCCGTGGCGTCACAATTAAATTCAGTGTACAATACATTCTAACAATTTTTTATTTCAATATTATAACAAATTAAACTTACCAATATTCCTCCAGCAAACAATGATTAATATAAAAGGCCTGGTTGTGTATTGAATTATAAATAATAGAATATATTCCACTCATTATTCTATTATGTTTGTTTAGTAAATTTTCCGTGTCTATTTCGTTCATGGAAATTTATATTGTGGTTTCTACAGGACAGATCCAGGCTAGCTCTAGGTCAGTTAATGTGAACAGGAATTTGAAATATAAATTATTATTAAAAGAAAAAAATATACCCAATTACTAACTGTTAGGTATAGTCTCAAATCGATACATATAATCTTAAGTTTATTAACATAATTATCTTAATTATATAGTATACGTAGTTTAAGGAAAAATGTTGTTAAATCATATTACATAACATTTTCTCTTAAACTACGTACGTACATACTCATGTATGTATGCATATATTTAATTTGAATACTAACAATAGTTTTGTATCCACAAAACACATTTTTTTTCGGATTACCCTAATGCTGTTGGCCGCAGCAGGCCTTTACAGCTTCACAGGACGATAGGGGGTGAGTGCAAATAGCACTGTAAACCCGTTAACGTACTTATAGAGCGGCTGAAGACCAACTAGGCCTTCAGCCGCCTAAAGGATACGACTTTAGTTTGAGGGCACAGCTAAGGGTACGAACCTCGGCTCAGGCTGTTGTAATTTCGATCCCCGTTTGAATTGTACGGGGATCGATCGGAGGGGAAGAGATCACAGAAGTATTTGACTGTATTTGAATCTAATATAGCAGTGTACGAGTCTACAGCCGACTTTTGTATTAATTTGTTTTCTTTATTAGTGTCTCATTCGAAGAGAAATATGATTGATATGAAATTGATTGAAGCTAGCTTAAATTCATGAGGTTTAGGCATAAATAGTGGTTCGCCATCACTACTTCAGACGCTCTACATATATATATTGTAAATTGTTTGTTTATGAAAGTTGATAAATGAGGTAAATGTTACCAGATTTTATTAATAAGGTCGCTCTATAACTCTCTGTAAGACACTCATAAAAACTCTGGAAATAGTATTTTTTTAGTGGAATGGTCCACCAGCCTGCGCTAACGGTATACACTGGCACCAGTGGAGGATAATAAAATGAACTGTGGCTCCATCGTGATTAAATAACCTGATATTTTTTTTAGAGGATGATAATGGAATGGCAAACTACCAGTGGAGGATGATAGGATGAACATGAAGTCAACTGCCCATCTCATTTCAGGAAATTTATCGATGGTTTGTCCATCGTGATTAAATAACCTGATATTAACCATGATAGTTTCCAAGGGGAACCGCATGAAGGTCAATCTAACATGGGACATTGCCAGCAATTGGGCGCCATTAGACGGGATATTAGCCCTCAGTACTTACAATCCTCTTCCCCTAATAGAATTGTCTTATAATATTAAAAGAATGGGTTCTTCAGAAGGTGCAATATGCATAACAGTCACAATTATATTATTTATTATTCATATACATTATTCTTTCGCCATTCAGGCAATCAAACTTTGGAACGACTTACCCCTTTATATCAAAACCGCCACGAGTAGATTTTCTTTCAAACGTAAATTACGGGAACATTATTTAAACTTGTAACCTTTTCTGTGTCCTGTTTTCTCATTGTTTTTTATTTATACGTATACGTTTTTTCTTTTATTTCCATTATTGTGGCAGTACATGATATTTCATTGTCAGATTATTAAATATGTATTTATTCATATATATTTTTATGTGTATCGTTTAATATATTTTTTATATTTGCACCGCCAATTATTCTCTGCACCACCCATGGTTGACTGGTAGATAATGCCGCATGGTGTTAAGTCCGCCATATGTACTTTCAATTATGTGCATTAAAGTTTTAATAAATAAATAAATAAATTATATACTTTAATATTAGCCAAATTTATATAAATATATATATGTACATATTTATCCTGTCTATATATTAATAATACAAGCATTTGGTAGAATCTGTAAGCAGAAGTTTTCAATCATGCGTTCTTCGGCGTCGTAAACTACGAACATATATAATTCATGTAAAAATATCAATTTTCTTAGCCAATAATTTGATTTTACGATTGAAATAAAAGAACACGCTGTATATGTTCGAAATAAACAACAGAGTTGTTTAATAATACTTAAATTCCTAGAATCCACGGCAATGACTGTTATAAAGATTAAAAAAAATACAACTAAGTAGTTGTAATTTTATATTTTTATATAAGTATGTAACTTCGTGTAAAAATAACTGTTTTAGATTTACAAGGTTTAGATAATAAAAATATTGAGTCATACCGACTTTTCATTTTTCATATGTAACGTAATTCTTATACGTGAGATTGTGCTTCAGAGATATGATAACACAAATATCACGCGACTAGATATAGATGTAAATGTTTAATTCTATATTTAGTTACAACTAACTGTTCCCGCGACTTCGTTCGACTAAGTTACTCCTTATTACATCATCTACCTGCCAATAAAAGTCCCGTCAAAAACGGTCCAGCCATTTCAGAGATTAGCCGGAACAAACTGACAGACAGACAAAAATTTTAAAAAGTGTTATTTCAATATTACGAACAGACACTCCAGTTTTATTTATATGTATAGATTACACGACTAACAGCTTGAAAATAATTTTAATATATTATCATAACATGATGTTTCATTTGACGGCCACGGTTGTCAACCGTTTTCGCCGTTATCAAATTAATTTTACATCATGATGATCTAACGGTTTAGCACGTCTACTTAATCTAGATAGACATAACCTCAAAATAATGATAGGGACAATAACGGGCCATTGTTCCTTAAACAAACACTTATACAAAATTGATGCTACAGACAGCCCCCTTTGTCGGGGCTGCTTTGAAGCTGAAGAAACGGCGGCTCACGTGATCCTGGAGTGCGCGGCAGTGGCCCAACAACGAAAACAAATCCTCGGAACGGTGAGGTCGCTCCGTGAAGCCTGTGAAGACACTAGGAGACTTCTGCGCTTTTGGGAGTAGCTTGGCTGGCTACGTTAGTAGTCTGGCTCTACACGCACAACGGCCCGAATGAGAGGCTAATTGCGGAGACTGGAGTCCAACCTACATTTACATTTACAACAGTTTAGCACACCACCTTACTTCCGATGGTCGCGGGTTCGATTCCTTGCACAGTACAATACGATTACATTATACCATTTTGATAAATTCCACACCTAAGGGGATAAATTAACGCGAGCGAAGCCGCGGGCAACAGCTAGTATACATATAAAGTCGTTATTTAGTCGTTTTCACTCGGAGAATGGATTCATGAGACGAATTGTTGATTAACTCCTAACTCCCGATTAAGTTTTCTAGACTGTGTGAGTAGATTGCAGTGAGTTGGCGCGGAACGGGTGGCATGATTCGTAGAAATTCACTCAAGATCAATGGTACTTCAATTTCACGCTGTATTTAATTTCACTGAATACAACTTGCGCTGTTTAAAGTTTAGTAAGCGGGTAAATCTTCGTTCTAAATCTAGCGAATAAGGTTTTTGTTGGCCAATATTTGTATAGTACGTATATATGTATATTATTATTAATAGTGGTCGATATTCGACCATAAATAATATAAGACCATAGACAAGTAATACTAAGAGACAAACAATATTAATCTATTCTCAATTTGACTACAGACTTTAACTATAAACAAAAGAGTATATATACATACGTATGAAATACCCATGTAATGTTTTATAAAATTGATTTAATGTTTTTTTATGCGTAATTAAAAAAAAATATGATCATTCTGTACTCCGTTTTATAGATCTGCTAGTGAAAGTCGCAAAATCGGTCCAGCCATTACAGAGATTAGCAAAAACGAATAGACAGACAGACAAATAAGGAAAAAAGAAGAATACAAGAAAATAGACAATTATTTTTGTATGTAAGTGCCGTATTTTCATATGCATTTAGTGAAAAGCTTTTTATTTATTTGCAACGATGACTCCAGCGTTAGTATCGGATTTAGATACTAGTAAATTATGTCACTAAATCATTAAATTGATAATGATAATAATAGTTTATGTAATGTATCTACAGCCATGAAAGTGCGGCTCACTGGCAGCAGATCTGTGGTTTACCAATATGGCGACCCATTTCACAGCTGATGGCCGATGTAGTATATATATACCACACAGTTAATTACATTTTAAATTATATCCGGCCTCAACTAAACTAATTACCTGCTTACTATATAAAATCTATCACTTTCAAAGAGTTTGATATAAAATAGATAACGTTTCTGGCTGTATAGCATACTGGATCTTTCAATGTCTATTTATTATCGCACAATAATTCTTTTTTGTATTCATGAATCAGACTAAATGTGTTTATGTGGCAGTATTTATAATAAATATATGTATAGATAATTTTTGCATCCATTTGCAGGCCCATACCATCCTCATCACAAGAA